GGAATTATGGGATAATGATGGAGGTGAAAAAGAACTCACTGACGAGAATGAAGGTGGGCTTTTTCAGTCCGGGATAAGTTCGTGACTTGTAGTGTCATGAAAGTCCCGTCAGCTGTGTTATGAGGCTGCAGGCCACTAGCGTAACCAGCATGGCTGCTGCAACTGATAGAGTACTACCTCTTAAACAGCGTTCTGACTATTCAGCATTTGTTTTTTTTATTTTTTTTTTTAAGAATATTAGTACTACTTTTCATACGTCGCGTGTTTGGCCGTTCAGCTTTTTCATAATGATTTTTCTTCATTCTTCCATAGAACTGTTGCCTAGTGCGCCTGGAATTAATTTTATAAGATTCCCTAAAAATGCCCAGAAATACGAGGAGTCACAGCCTGTCTCATAATAGGAGTTAAAAAATTAAACTTTTTGGTCCAGATTTTATGAAAAGCAAAAGTTTTTTTTGTCCAGGTTTTCAGATGATATGCTATCTGTTACTTTTTTTTATTGCTCTACTTCTGAGGAAATTTATGCCAAAAAATTATAAGAATTTCTTAGCAAAGAGCTTATATACAGTGCCCTTTACGAGGGGATTTCTTCCGATCAAGCGTTTCCAAGCGTGCTACGCTAATTGAAAGCCAGTGCTACGGCCTGATATATATACATAGGTGTTGATGCATTTATAACTTCCCCGGCCTTTCATATGATAAATCAGTTATCTTTGATGAAGTTGTACCAGATTTTATGCGCCCAAGCAGCTCTCCATATTTTCACTGATTTGGTTTATCGAGGAGCGTTCAGACTGTTTGTATAAAGTTTTCGGTGTTACACCTGATGTAACCATTCTTTTCCTTCAAACTCATTTGCCTTAGCTGCCCTTGTTTCTCCACCACGATAAAGGCAGTCTAGGTCTAATGTTGTATTGCTTAGAGTCACGGATTACTGTGTGCTGCAGTTGCGAAATATTATGCTATAAATATTCCTGAAATTTCAGGCGCGAACAGGGCCACTGACAAATTGGTTGCTAATAAGGAGGAAGAAGCTGCTAGGGGTAAAAACGAAGAGAACAAAGCAGCGGAGGATAATGCTGATGGTGATGTTGATATGGAGAATGTTGATGAGCGCGAAAATTTGAATGGCGATGACGAAGGCACTACAGAAATTGACAATGAGAAGGGCAATGGCAATGAGGATGAAGAAAATTTGGAGGAGGAGGGTATGGAGGCGATAATGGACAATAACTTGGACGAAAACGATGATGAAGTTGAAAGTGTTGATGGCAGTGCGACTGAAGTCGATGGTGGTCAAGATGCAGAGGACCAACAAGACCACGAGGTATTTTTAACCTTTGTTCCTGGAGGATCTGAGTTTGCCGTCAGTTTTGGCAGGAGTAATGTGACATTTTTGACGCTTAAAGACGCCCTGAATGTGGATCTTAACGATCAGCTTGAGTTGGGGAGAGAGTAGCACGGTTTTATATGCATGGGAGATGGGTAAAAAAGCCTGTGAGGCATCTGATTTATCCTGTTTGAATGGAAAAGAAGGCCAATGAGATATCGAATAGAGATGGCTTTCGTTTCAAATGCTGTTCTATGATGGTTCTTTACTTAAAACTGAATGAAAGGAAGAGAGGAAAAATGTTGATATTTTTAGGGCTGTTGGTTTGCAGCCTCCTTTCCGCTTTGGGGGGCACCACTGTGCCAGATCTCCTCACGTCTTGAACCGA